CAAGAGAAACAACGACATGAATCAAAAGAAATATCCAACACATATTTAGAGCAAAGTTTACATATCAGTTCAGGTGAACAAGGATCCTCCTGAGCAGTGACAGCCTCCATGGCTACACAGACACAGGAAGGAGCCGGAAGAAAGTCCAACATCTACAGAACAACTCATGAGAAGATGTTGAAGCACATCCCATCATGTTTGATTGACAGCTGATCTCTGCACAGTGAAGACATGGACAATCAGCTCTGATGGACACACGGTGACTTTAAGAAGTAGAAGAGTTCCTCCAATGACTTCAGGCTATTTCAGTTTACAAAACTCAGCAGTGTCTCCATTATAACCACAAAGCCAAACTCCAGCATGTAGCGGCTGAGTGAATGTGGTCTGGACTCTGTGGAGGAGAGTCATGGTTTCAGAGACGCTGTAGAAGGACAGAATACCTGCTCTGTGATCCAGGTACACTCCTACTCTGGAGGACAGAGGACCTGAGACGGGAGTGTCGATACTGTTGTAACGAAATGAATAACTGTTTTGGTTACAATCCAAGGACCAAGATTTGTCATTGTCTCCAAATACACTTTCCTCCCATTCTCTGCTGATATTCTTGTATGCGACTGCTACATCAACTCCTCCCCCTCTCCACTCCACCTCCCAGTAACAACGTCCAGTCAGACTCTCTCTACTCAGGACCTGATGATAATCAGTGAATCTGTCTGGGTGACTAGAATAAGACTGATCTTGTTCCATGAGTGTTGCTTTTCTGCTCCCCTCAGATAATAACAGCCCTGTGTCTGCTGTGTTTGGATCCAGTGTGATCTTCTGTGAATATGTTAAGAACCCAGCTCTGGTGGTGGGCTCTGCTGCTGACAGTAAAACCTCACCTTCAGTCGGTGAGACGTTTATCCATTCCTCTCTCAGGACGTCCTGTAGTTTGTCTCTGACTGCTGACAGGGCCTCCGTCACGTCCTCAAAGTAGCTCAGAGGACGGATGTTGATGCTGGATGAGTGTGTAGGTTCACTGAGGGCTGACAGTGAGGGGTAGCTGTGCAGAAACTGGTTGTGATCCTCTGTGTGAGACAGCAGCTTCAGCTCAGCGTCTCTCCTCTTCAGCTCAGCCATCTCCTGCTCCAGCTTCTCCTGAAGCTCTTTGACTCGACTCACTTCTCTCTTCTGCTGGGATCTGAGCTGCTGCTTCACATCAGAGCTTCTTTTCTCCATGAGACGGATCAGCTCAGTGAACATCTTCTCACTGTCCTCCACTGCTTTATCAGCAGAGCCATTGACGGCCTCCACCTCCTGCTGAAGCAGCTTCACCTCCTTCTCTCCGTCCTGGATTCTCTGCTGGATGTTTAGTCGACTCCCCTCCAGCTCTCTCTGCCTCTCAGTCCTCTCTGCTGCAGCTGACACCGTGTCGTGGCCTTTGTGTTCGTCCATAGTGCAGATATAACAGATACTCTGCTGATCAGTGCGGCAGAACAGCTTCATCACCTCGTCGTGACGAGAGCAGATGTTCTCCTGGAGCTTCTTGGAGGGCTCCACCAGCTTGTGTTTTTTAAAGACAGGTGATTCATAATGAGGCTGGAGGTGTTGGTCACAGTAAGAGGCCAGACACACGAGGCAGGACTTACAGGCTCTCAGTTTCCTCCCGGTGCAGAAATCACAGGCCACATCTTCAGCTCCAGCATAGCAGAGATCAGCAGGAGCAGGTGGGGGTCCAGTCTTCTTCAGCTCCTCCACTAAAGCTGCTAACATGGTGTTTTTCAGCAGGACAGGCCTCGGTGTGAAGCTCTGCCTACACTGAGGGCAGCTGTGGATCTCCTTCTCATCCTCTCCGTCCCAGAAGCCTGTAATACACTTCATGCAGTAGCTGTGTCCACAGGGAATAGTCACCGGATCCTTCAGTAGATCCAGACAGATGGAACAAGAGAAGGTTTCCCGGTCCAGCTGAACTCCTTTCTGCGCCATTTCACCTCTCAGTAGCAGCGAGTGTGTGAGTTTCACTTCCTGAGAGTTGGAACTAGTGTGACAGGTTATCTGAACAGGATGTGTGTGTGCAGTGAATGTGGCCTATCAGCTCTTGTTCTTTACCCACATGTTGGTTACACCCCTCCTCCTCAGTGTGGATCTGAAGGGGAGGAGCCAGGAAACACAGAGTGGAGCTGGCTGTGTCTGAGAGCAGGAAGGAGAGGGAGGGCTTATCAAATAGTGATGGGAATTATGGCTCTTTGAAGGGAGCCGGATCTTATGGCTCCGTTCCTTTCAAAGAGCCGTTCAAAAGAGCCGTTCAAAAGAGCCGTTTTTTTAAAAAGGGGGCGGGGTTACTAGGTTTATCTGCGAAATAATCACCAGGATAATGATTGACTGCATTGCCAGACCTAATGTCAATAATCTGCATTGTAAACATGACACAAGGTGGCGCCATATCCATGTCATTCATGTCAGTGAATGTACTTTGAATTTACCCTCTGCATGTGTTAAGTAAATAAAGTTGCCTTGCCTTGAATGAAATTCACGCAACTCTTAATATTAGTAGTGTGTTTTTAAGTGGCGATGGAGATTATTTGTTGACCCTGCTTTAAAGGATATTTTGCCTTTACAAATGGTGCGCTTTATCACTGCCTGGGTTTTGGTTGAAGTGCATCCAAATGCTGCTGCGTTTTCGCGTTTGGCTCATTTTACATCCGAAAAACACGTCGTCTATCTGTCCAGTACCACTTGTTATGACTTCTCTCTCTCGCGTATTCCGTTAAGACCCACCCCACCTAACTCCTCGTGCTGAAACCTACAAATCAGAGTAGGGGCGGGTCTTCACAGAATACGTTTGGGGAACAAAATCAAGCTTTTTAAAAGGCGAGTGAATTTTGGCAGGCAGTGAGTGCGGACCAACTTTGATTGAACGATAAGAAGAACGGCTCTCACCAAGTACGACTCGGTTCCCCTCGTTCGTACCAAAGAGCCGTTCAAAAGAATCGGCTCGTTCGCGACCGACACATCACTATTATCAAACTCTGAGTCATTCCAGGAAGAGGAGCAGCGCTCAGACTCTGACCGACACAGAGCCTCGGTTACAACCTGCTCTTCATTTGAAAAGAGCTTTTAGTTGTAAAATAAGTTGGTAAACTTACAAAATCTGAAGGGGGTTAAATACTTGTTTCCTCCACTGTAAATGTATAGCCTCAATGTCCTGAGATAGCTGATTGATTTAATAGTTGGATGTACGGTAAGTAGTTTTTTACTGTAAGTACTAGTAGTAGTAGTGGTAGTATTGTGTGTGTGTGGGGGGGGGCTTTTATATATACAACTCCTTATCCTGTGCGTTCACACTAACTATGAACCTGAAACTAAACACGTCCTCTTTAATTGACACCAAAATGATGATTTGAGGTTGAAACCTTCTTTTAAATCTTTTCTTTTTACACTCCAACAGATGTGTCTCAATGGAGAAGAAGAAACCTCAGATTCCTTAGAGTCCATCGAGGTGAGTTCCTCCGAGGAGACGTCCCCCGCTGTGTCCCCTTCCCAGGATCCCCCCCCCACAGGACCCCATCACAGAGACACCCCTTCCTAACGTGATCCAGGAGACTGAACCTCCTTCCTTAGCTACTAACTGCTGGACTTAGCAGAGAAATACAGAAAAGTGAAATGATTTGAATCAAAATGGTTACAGCTCAAATGCACTGACTTTGTTGAAAGCTTGAAAGTGAAATGTTAAACTGGAAGAGTAGGACAAATAGTGATGAAGCTTAATATTTCAAAGAAAAGTTGAACATGTATAAACAACTACAGTAAATGTGTATTAAAGCAACCCTCCTGTGATATATAGCTATGCGTAAACATATGTTTCAGTGAGGGAGGGGTCAGACTGAGTGAGGATGAACACTGTGCTTTGTTTCAGGAGGAAAACTCAGTTATAGGTTGCTGTCGAATAGTCAAAAAATCAGCTCCTATCGTCTATCCCTTGACCTCTGTGTGAAACGTCACAGGGTTAAGGGATAGTGGATAGGAGATTTGTAATTTGTGCGTCTGCTGCTGTGGGGAAACTATGGAAACTACATTTTTCTATACAGCGGAGTCCACCCCCACTCAAAATACCTTCCCGCGCCTCTGCATGCCTATTACAGCTGAATGCGGCGATTACCATCTTGTTCAGCAAAACGCCTCACAAACTTATTAAGATCAACAGCTTTAGTGCATTTTGATTCAATGCTGAGTACAGCCAAACTTCACAGTCTCTTCTCTGTCATTGTAGAACGCGAATACCTCATTCCTTCCGTCTTTACTTGGGTCCGAATGCTTCTCGTTTGGCACCGTCCCGTTCAAATGAAATCGCCACCAATCATATTTCCAAGCTCGCGCCAGGGCCGGGGGAGGGGTTACAAGACTTGCGTCTTGTGCTGCATTCACTTGCACTCGGACATTAGAGATTTTCTCTCATAAATGTCTGATGAGCCACAACTTTTCTTTCAAAACAAAGATGCCAACTGGGGTGCCACCCCGGTAGATCCGCCCCATGTTAGGTGGTCCGTGAGTGTTTTTTTATTGGTTAAGTGTCCTTGGTATGAAAAAGTTTGAGAAACACTGCGCTAGTGGATTGTCAAAGGGGGAGCCTCGCTGCGGGGAAATTATACAGATGGCTAGTCCGCCCCTGAAAAATGTCTGTGCACACGTTATTATTAATAATAATAATACATACAAAAATTGAAAACAAATATTAATTTTAATTTTTTAATTTTCAATTTGTATTTTGTAATCACCCATGACTTGGAGAATTGCAACCAAAAAATAACCTGCAAGAAGCAGTATTTAAATCGGTAAATACACCTAAAATACATTTTCCACAGCGTCAGATTGATGTCACAGTAGTATAAAAAATATATAATAGTGGATATAAATGCATTTTCTATGTTCCTCAAATAAAAAAAAATGGTTTCCCTGCGTTGGATAGACGTTGGTGAATCCAAGAATCAATCGGGTTTGAAACAATAAGAGGTATTCGTGGATTAAAACCGAAATAAGGACTTTATTTTTGTTCATATATTGCTTTCCGCATGAGAAACTGGATCACTCTGTTCGTGTCAAGTGAGAGTGTTTAATTATTTTATTATACACTTTAAAAATATGTACAAAATACTATAAACATTTTAAGTAACACTTGAGTCAATTGTAGGGTTATTTTGACACACAAAGGCCGACTCAGAAAGACACAGAATAATAATAAACATGTACATTTTAACACAAATTAGGATATTTGCTAAAGAGCAGCGGAGGTACAGTCTCTTTTTCACTGACGCTGTTTCAATGTCACAAATAAAACACTCATTTCAAAATATTCTCATTTTCCTCCTGTGACTCGTGACGGAAACGCATACTTGGCCTCAAAGACATCTCCCATCACACCGTCGCCGAACAACTCGACCCCAGAGAAACATCCAAAGAAGCTCTTTTTAAGTATATTTGAACAAACAGACACTTAGCTTTGAGTGAATTTAACTTTAAGATGCACTACCTGGCACATTATTCCAATTAGAGCTGCAGGACACAGAAAAATAACTGGCAAATGTTTTTGATAACGCACACATTTTTACGGGGGAAAAAAAAAACAGAAATTGTCGTTTTCTGCTTTTAATACGTGAAAGAAATCCAGTTTTTTTATCAAAATAAAGTCAATATGTTTGGGGTTCACGCTCTCAAAACATAGCGCTAATCGTGTGTGGCATGATTATTATATTCCACACATATCTTACAAGTCATGAGGTGGTAAAAAGAAGTTGAATTAATCATTACAACATGCTGGTTCTTCAACATGTAGTCAGTAGTGGATTGACCTAAAGAGAGAAAAATAGAGAGAAGCTGCCTCTGGAAGGGAACACAAGGATTTGAGCCTCTGCAGACCATTGACATACACAGCATAGGACCTCTTTAATATTTAAATCAAATTAAAGTGGGAAAATGTCCTAAATGCTGCTTTTTTCAGCCTCTCAAATGTGTAGATTTCCTGCTGCTTTAATTGGTTTGTATCGGATTAAAGTGACTATCGTTTGGTTTTCAACGGACAAAATAAGACGCTAACTGACTGGAGGTATTGCGGAGCCTTATGAGCATGATCACTTATATTAAAACCACACTGGGTTCCCGATGACTTGCACAGAAAAGTCATTTGTTGGTTAAAAAAAACCATCAAATAAATCAACATTTAGTCTAAAAAAAATGCTGTTTTTCAGTCCGTCAAATGTGGACGTTTTACTGCTTTCCTCCGTTACATATCAAGTTGTGAATAAATTGCTTTTTGAAACCGACAAATTAAGACTTCTAGAAACTAAAATAGACATTTTCTGGACCAAACAGTGAACCGATAATGAAAGTAATGTAGCTGCAGCTCTAATGTAGGCAGAGTTCCAGAAATAAAGTCAAATATTTATCTTACTTTTCACAATTACTGACCATTGCATGACTTCCCCTGGGGTTGAGCGTGTACTGCAAAGACTTTCCGCTCCTCACCGATGTGTTTATCTGGATTTTGGGAAACGAATGAGGCCTGTAGTCCTGTCTCCCTATTGGAGGATGGGAGGGGGCTGTGTCTCCCTCAGTTTGGGGGGGGGTCACTGCATCCCGAACCACTGCTCCTGGTCGGCCCACTGCGCCGCCTCGCTGTCGCTGCCCTCCAGGTCTCC